CAAGAAAAATGAAATAAAAATAATAACTTTTTACATTTTACTGTTTTAAAAAATGTAAGGAGTACAAGTAAAAAGTAGCCTGAAAAATCMCTTAGTTAAAGTACAGATAACCAAAATTTCTACTTGAGTACAGTAACAAAGTATTTGTACCATTTGTACYGCGACAACACAAACTCTGAGTCTGTCATCCTGTGATGCTACATGACGTMTTGAAGTGTCCGTCATAAATGTCCAAAAATAATCCAAGCGTACGCTTCGCAGGACACGCTTACAGGAAGTGTGATGTCAACGGTTCCTGGGTGTTTGTGGAGAACTGGAACAAAACGTGGACMAACTACTCCGAGTGTCTCCGCTTCCTTCAGCCCTTCAGCGACGAGGAGGCGAGAGTGAGTAAAACTGGGAAAAGCAGATTATCCCGACATCTTAAAAGTGTTCAATCAGTTTCTGAGCACAGAGGAGTGACTCAGTTTGATTCAAACTAACTGAACAGCTTCTCACTCTTAAAGCAGACTTTTTTCTTTTTTTAAACTTCTTTTTCCTCATTGTCCTTTTTCTGTTTATTTCTTTTTTTGCATGTTTTGTAGAAAATGTAAAAATTATGTTTTTTTTCTTGTGACACGATACAACAAACTGGGCAATAATGAGATAAACGAACACCCGAAGCTGTCCTCTAATCAGACAGCAGCGTCATTAAGAMCGCTCGAATCTAAAAGCTTTGCTCTAATCAAAAACTGATGAAAGGATTGAAATAAATWATCAACCACAGTCTCCATTTTTAGACAAGTAAACAGGCTTGTTTGGCCATAAAACCTCGAAGAGTTGTGATGAACTGTGATGAGCCTTTCAGGGAAATTCGAAACATTAATGYATCAACTGGTAGTTTGGTCACTTAGGTCCTGCATGATGAGCAGTAAACAGAACAGATTTATTGTTATGAACCTTATAAAGCTGGAAAACGGCTTATAATTTATACATCATTGTGTGTTTGTCATTTTTTTGTTGTTTTAGGTTTTGGGATTTGGGAGAAATCATGAATACATCGTCTGTTTTTAGTCACTTTTTTATGTTTGTTTTCTAACATCTCTGTAGTTTACCATACTGTATATGTAT